GGGAGGAGTCTGGACAACACAAAACAGAGAGAGTTGCCTCTCTGGAGTCCCTCTGCTTGGAAGAGGCATTGTGGCTAAAGGCAGACAGAGCTAGGGAGTTTTCTGAGGTTGGACATACTCAAGGTTTTGAGGAGCTATTTGGGGAGACAGAATCCAAAGTTTTTGTTTCCTCAATCTGGCCAGAATCTGCCTATTATGTCAGATCTGTGCAAATGAAACATTCATTAAGCTTGGGGGCTTTTGCTGCTCATGTTAATAAAAGAATGACTTTTTTCTTTTTTTTAATTAATCCAGGGTCTTACAACACGCTCTAGAAAGGCCAAAGTTCAAAGGTGTCCAGTGGCGGCTGTTTAAACCCCTCTTCCATATAAGAGTACATGGTAGACACATCTGGATTCCCAAGCCACAAAACAAGAATCTCGAAAATGTGCTTGGAGAGTACCCAGTTCCCACCACCATGCCCTACTCTTTGGGGTTTGTCGTGATGCCTTCCAGGCAGAGTGGAGCCAAGGTGAGCTTTGTGTCAGCAAGACAGTTGCTGTAATAAACCATGTTGCCCATTTATGGGGCACTTACTATGTGCTGGGCCCCCATGAGCGCTTCGTGAGCCCCATCTTATCCAAATGTCTTTACCCAAGGAGGTGAGTCCAGCCCTGTTCACCCATTTTGTATAACCACAAACCTGCTAGCGCTTGAAACCTTCTTTTGCACATGCCATCATCTGGGAAAGTCTGTGTTGATGGTTCCCTGCCACACTGATTAAGATGACAAGAAGACAATGAAACACTTGTCTCCAAAAGTGACTTCTTGGATCCACTGGCAAAATGTTAGAAAGTGGGTATGAAGCCCAAGAAACAGGATACCCAGGCTCTTTGAGCTTGGGGATTATTACAGAATCCTAGCCCAGGCCAAGAATGAGTCACAATGAAAGCTTTTAAAATATAAAACCATCAACCTAGATTTCAATTCCAAGGAAACACATACTTGGCCATGAGGGAATGCTTTAAAAAAAAAAATCAGGCTTAAGCCACTTGACAGGAAAATAAAACAGCCAAGGAACATTCAAATATAATGATTTACACCCTCGCCCTCCCTTCCCTCCCTTCCAATGTGGGTCAGGGCGGATGCGGACACGATCTCTGCCAGTGTGCTGTCCTCTCCAGGCTCCTGCTTTTCACTTAACACTATTTCACGCAGGCAATCCTGAGCGAGGCTAGCGCTGCATGGTGCCGCCTTGGGGTTGCCATGCCAATCTCATGGATTCTTCACCATTTCCCTGTGCTTGGGCTCTGGGTTTGCTTGGGGTGGCTGTTTTGGGAATACGAGAATTTTTCTTCCATTATTTATGTGTGCAAGCACTGTTCACTTCTCTCAAAGAAATGGAAGCTTGATTGATCTCCTAAATGTAAGAACGAGATTGCCCCGCAATAAATATTTAAGACTGACCAGGAAGGGCAACCACCATCTGCTAAAACACCAGCCCAGAAATTACTTTCCCAGGGAAGGGAATGAATGAATAACCGTCCTATATATAATATTTGCTCAGCACCTGATAGTTTACAAAGGTTTTCACTTATCTCATTTGATCAGCGCAATAGCCCCAGAGAGGTAGACAGGGCACGGATTACAGGCATTATTAAAACCCACATTTTTTCTTTCTTTCTTGGCAGATAAAGGCTATAAAGGCTTAAAAGAGCCACTTGAGGAAGGCCAGAGAGTTTGGGGACTAAATCTCGGGTCTCTAATTCATTCATACACGTATTCAAAAAGCATTTATCTGGAGCCTATTCAAAGCCAGAGGAAATGGCAGTGGGCACCCAGATGACTAAAGCAGGGTCCCTGCCGGGAGGCAGCTCGCCTTCTAGCGGGGAGAGGGCCAGGGGAAGTAAACCTGTCCCTGAGCTGCGGGGCGACGATGGGTTCTTGAGGGGCAGGAGCCGAGCTCTGGCCGCATTTCCAACGTGATGTTCTCACGAAGCCCCGCTCAGCTGTTATCTACACTATCTGTCCTCCTAAGGGGGGCTGGGGGTCCCAGCTGTGTGCCCGGGGTCACTGTCACTGGGGGAACCGTATGCGGTGTGGGGACAGAGCTCCCCCTCATTCGGCACACATGCAAATATTTCCCGGGGAGCTGAGCTAAGCCGGGGGCCGCCGCAGGCTCCCCTAATTTCCCTGCATGAGATAACTCAGGGTGTCTCTGCCTTTACCGAGGCGCCTTCGCCCCGCCGCAGCCGGCAGCTCCGCAAAGCGGGC